ACACACACACACACACACACACACACACACACACACACACACACACACACACACACACACACACACACACACGCACACACACACACACACACCTGAAACTCATTGGCCCTTCCCTGTCAGGAGTGGGCTGTGCCTTTGTTGTGTGTAACCAAGATACTTCATTCAAAGTTCCAGCACTGATCTCTGGATTAACACCATTAATCAAAGTACAAACTTTTTTCTTAGATTTAAGAATTATATTCAGTGTTTTTTTTTACCCTAAACTGTTTTTATTTTTTGTCATTAAGCTACAGACTTTTGATTATTACAAACAGTATTTTTGTACATTGTCCACAGTGAACAGATTTAGTCAAAAAAAAAAAAACAATAGCATCTCATAATGAACAGGTCTTTAATCTAAATGTTACATGCAGTTACAAAAATGCTCTTCTCAGTAATCAAAAATGAAAGAAAAAAATGGTCTTACCTGGTGAAGCTGCTCAGACTGATGAGCTGTTTGAGTTGTGTTGAAAGCAGGAGTGAAGGTTTGTCATAAATAAGACTCCATGTTATGGAGGAGGAGTGGAAAAAAATCCCCCACTCTCCCCACCTCAATCAGTAGACTGAGAGTTGACGTCACTTCTTTGCAACTTTTCACAAAAGGTGCATTTTCCTGCTCCTTCCTCCTCCCACCCTCCTCCCACCACTAGGATATTGATGATGTTGGGTGTCACAGAGATCATGACTACAACGGAAAGTCCTCATTCTGACAGAGACACACCTGGCCTTCCCCTTCCCAAGTGTTTGTTGCCCCTTTGAGTCCTGGACTATATAAGGCAGGTAGATTCTCAGTCAGAAAAAAACATCAGCATCCTTCAGAGCAAAGCTGCAGCAACAAGGAAGAACAAGAAAGAAGTTTCCCTTTGACAGAAACACCAGGGTTGAAGTCATGCTATCTGTGTTACAGGTTATATTCACCTTTCTGTTTTAAATCTTGTAGACCAGGTATAAATCTTGAGTGTAAGATGAATTGTCAGGTGCACTTAAAATTGCTGGACATAAAGATTTAATGGTAAAATGTATTTTGTGYCTTTTAAATGTGAATTGTACACTCTGTTTGTTTTGTTTTTTACAGTTTAGATGATTTACTCTGGCCACACAGCTCTGCTTCAATAGCTCTTTAAGAAAAGGAACAGTTTTAGAAACTTACATTTCAGTAGAGTCAGAGAAAAATTATATGAAAATCAAACAGCTAAATTTTTATAAATGTTAACAAACATATRCTAATCATTTTGTCCCACAGAAAACCGTTAGACCTGTTCAGGCTGCCAGAGGACTGCATAAACCTGCACTGGATGGTAAGCAGATTGACTAATTTTGTCTAAAACAGTCAAAGGGAATTAATGCTTTTTTTTTACCTGATCTGATACTAATCTGTTTTTTTTCCTGCAGTTGTGAAACAGCTGGCTCCTGAGGACACAGTCACAGCCAGTTTTGGGAAGTTCATCAGTGAGGTGAAGCCCCAGCACTTGTCTCCTSTGGTTCTCCACCGCAGTAAAAGGATGGTGCTGGACAGCATCGGTGTCGGCCTCATTGGAAGCACAACAGATGTGTTTGAACTGGCCCTTCAGTACTGCCAGGTGAATTAAATTAAAAAGAGAATGGATGAAAATGGCGTTTTATTATTGTCAAAGCTGTGAGGTAGCTGAATTGATGATGATATGAGTTTTATGTCTTTTTAGCACATGTATGCTCCTGATCACATCAGTGCTGTGTATGGACGCAGAGGCATCAGGCTGTCCCCAACTCTGGCCTCTTTCYTCAACGGGGTGGCGGTAAGTAATAATATACTGTAGGTGGAAAAATCCTTGTCACAACAACTCAGTGGCTACTTCCACAACAGCACGTCCTCTAAATTATAAGGGTGGTTCAAAAATACAGTGTAGAAACAGCTGGAGAAATGAAAGTTTTGCTTTCCTTTCTAAAACTCTCCACAGACGTGGCCAAAGTGTCAGTGTTTACATAAAAAAAACTGTGTGGGGAAGTGAATTAGATCATTTGGAGGTACCACAGACAGGGTTGCCTCTGTTGCACACAGTGAACAAACCACGATCAGAACTGCTTTCGGTTTTACTATGATGATGATACTTAAAACCTGTTTTTATCCAGACTCACTCCATGGACTTCGATGACACGTGGCACCCAGCAACTCACCCTTCAGGAGCCGTCCTTCCTGCAGTGTTAGCTCTCAGTGACATGATGGCGGCTCACAGCAAACCGAGCGGTCTGGACTTCTTGCTGGCCTTTAATGTTGGAATCGAGATCCAGGGTCGTCTGATGAGGTTCTCTAATGAAGCACAAAACATCCCCAAGAGGTCAGTGCCTCCGAGCATTGAGCCAATATCCATGCAGCAAGCCTGATTTGCTTATTTTGGTCGTTCTGATCTCTGTAATGCAGTCCAGCTGTGAATACAGTGTAATCATGAGGCTCTGTGGAAAGTTGTAGCACAGTTAGGAAAATACCACAGCACCCTTCATTTGTTGTCTGTTTTGCAAACTCAAATTAACTGTACCAGGTCATTTGAGTTATTCTACTTCTCAAAACAGGTAAATAAATAAATAAAAACTGTCATCCTTTAACATTTACAAAATTATTTGCAGACTTTGAGTCACAGAAAAAAGAAGTCATTCAGACACAGAGCCTMTCAGACAGGTGCTCTGTTATAATTGCAATGATGCAGACTTCTTGTTTTTAATGACTAGAGTAAATAAATCCTAAATAAAGTGTCTCTGTTTGTTTGTTCAGGTTCCACCCTCCCACCGTGGTGGGCCCCATGGGAAGCGCAGCAGCCTGTGCTCGRCTCTTGTCCTTGGATCCCTCTCAGTGCAGTCATGCCTTGGCCATCGCTGCTTCTCTGGCTGGAGCTCCCATGGCCAACGCTGCCACTCAGTCCAAACCCCTTCATATTGGCAACGCCTCCCGTTTGGGGCTTGAAGCTGCTCTGCTGGCCTCTCGAGGCCTGGAGGCCAGTCCTCTGGTCCTGGATGCTGTAGCAGGAGTGGCGGGCTTTAATGCCTTTTATGAAGATTATGCCCCACAAGCTTTAAAATCCCCCAMTGATGATGGCCACATGTTCCTCCTAGAGGAGCAGGATATGGGCTTTAAGCGTTTTCCTGCTCATCTGGGGATGCACTGGGTGGCAGATGCTGCAGCCTCGGTCCACAAGCTCCTTGTGGGCGTGGATCCAGGACAGGTGTCCCCACATCAGGTGCAGGACATCCTGCTCAGAGTCCCTCTGTCTAAATACATCAACAGGCCTTTCCCAGAGTCAGAGCACGAGGCACGCCACTCCTTCCAGTTTAACGCCTGCAGCGCTCTCCTGGATGGCGAGGTGACCGTTCAGTCCTTCAGCCCGGCTGCCATGAACCGGCCCGAGCTGCACGCCCTTCTGAGCCGCGTCCGCCTGGAGCATCCTCAGGACAACCCCGCTAATTTCAACCGGATGTACGGCGAAGTCCAGGTGYCTCTAGTTGGYGGAGACATTCTAAAAGGGCGCTGTGACACCTTCTATGGTCACTGGCGCAACCCGCTGACCAACGAGAGCCTGAGGAAGAAGTTCAGAAACAACGCAGGCYTGGTGCTTCCATCAGAGAGGGTTGAGGGTCTGATTGAGGCCGTGGAGGAGCTGGACAGACTGAAGGACTGCAGAGCTCTTCTCTCACAGCTGCTTTAAAGATTAACAAATACTGTACAACAACAAATGTGTAAATAGAAAGATATAATGGCATTAAATGAGTGTTTTATATAGGGGAGATACTTTTGTATTCAAATGCTGTTTTCTTTTATCATGCCAGATTCTTATTTGTAATGTTCAGTAATCAGAATAATAAACTTGATTTTGTTTAGCTTACTGAGAAATGTATGTGCTTAAAACTCGTGGGAACAAAATAGTGTTTATTCTGAGTGCTTTCAGATATTGTTGTTATATAAAAAATTATATTTGTAAAATACTGCATTTAATATTAGATCTGCCCATAGTCTGGTATACTTTAAATTTCTTCTCAAAACTCATTTTTATTCTCTGGTATTTTTATAAGTGTTTAAACTATGTGTTACTAAGGGTAATCTATTTGTTTTGTCTGTTTAATTTATTTTTTACTTCAATGTGATTTTTATTGGTTGTTTTATGAATGTTGTACAGCACTTTGGTGCAGTTGATTGCTGTTTTTTTAAAGTTTACATTGACATTGACTGTGTTCTGTGTTTTTAGGTAAACATTCAGAAATATGGTTGTTTACTGTATTGTCAATCAAACATTCATCTTTTTGTTTTTCCACCTTAATAAAATGACTACAAACTAATTTTGAGATACAGTATTGTTAATTTTTTTAAGAACACTTAAGTGTCTCAGAATAATCATTCATTACTGTATGTTCATATAATTTAAAAACTTATCTAAAAAATTGGTATACGTATGTGGCAGTGGAGATATTTATATTTTTCTACAGTCAAGATGCATCAAATAAAAATAGTTGCTTGACTTCTACACTAAACAGCTTTAGTATATCTTTAAAGTTTTCAGAACTTTAAAGCTCAGATCAAAATGCGTTTCTGTGGAAACATTGTAAACAATATCTTACCTGTTGTAGATAGCTCTTTAAATGATCTGACTTTGGAAAAAACAGTTTAATTCTGACTGGACTGAGAAGATAAAAGCTGGTCAAGAACAGGTTTATGAGATTCTGAAAAACAACAACACATTTACATGAAACAATGTAGAAATTGGTATTTGAGTTTGATAGTTGGTAAAGACAATACAGCTTGAGTCAAAAACCTCAGGACACCATTTTATTCTAGAAAGAAAAGGGAAAATGTCATAGATGAATACCCCAGCATGTAATGGGTGAAGGGGCTTATCTTTTAGGCTAAGTCCAGAATATGGCTGCCATTTTGGCAAACGCTATATTGAATCAAGGACAAGATTTTCCAAAGAAAGGACCTCTTGTTGAGATATTCACATTTCATTTCCCATTTTGCTTCTGAAACAAAAGGCTTTTCTGTGACTTTTGTCTGACGCTGTAGATTACTGCCATCCTAAAACAACTTTGGTCTCAAAACATTCTATAGCAGCTCCTTCTTAAACTTCTCTATTAATATTTTCACTACTTTAATTTCACACTGTGTGGTTATTTTGAGTTCATTGATTATTTGTTTGTACAAATAGTTGCAGCTACTAATGCAGCCTGAGTTACTTTGTGTAGAAATGTACTGTAGTAAACTAATGTGAGAGTGATATATATGGATATAAAATACAGTTTTCACAAAAAACAATGCTAACAATCCACTTTAATCATGGCAACACTCACTGATCTGGTTGGAATTAAACTCAAGGAGGTTATATAGAACCACTGGAGTCAGCGGAAACATGTGATCGGCTGTAGAAGCTAAAGGCTAAAGCAAAATGGTCAAGAGTCTGGATTCACCATTACTGTGCAGGTTGGTGACAGAGCAGAAAAAAGGACTGATTTTGTAGAATTTGTTTAACTATTAATAATAACATTAACCCAATTATTATTAATATTTTATAGTTTATATAATCTATCTAATGTTTTAAATAATGGCAGAAAAGCTGTTTGTGTTATGGATTTATTA